ATGATAGGGTGGAACTGGGGTGCAGAATAGGACAAAGGCTTGAAAAGTTCCAGGGAAAAAGGAGTTAATGGAAATCCCTGCTGCCATTATAATGGCCTCTGGCTTCATTCCTGCCAGGTCTTTGACACCTCCCAGAGTTGATTGGCCAGCTCCATGAGGGTGGCCCCCTGACCAAAATAGCATTGCTATCAGATTCGTGGGGGGAGGGTGCTTTTTGGTGGTACAATCTTCTTGTCCCCTGATATCTGAGCATGGGTCTCCTTTGCCAGGCCTGGGCCTTGCATCAAGAGTGTTCTCTTTTTTTTACTCTCCACCCTATCACCATAGCTTTAGTGCAGTATCTTATTTTGGAATGGAAAATCAGGGAGCTTCACATGGGCTACATGTGTCAGCTCTGGAGGGGGAAGGGGCTGGCATCTTCTGGGAGGGCACTGGGAGCAGTCCAGCTGGACCCCCCTCAGATCTGCCATCATCCAAACAGATAAGCCATGGCTGTGGTCCCTTAGGTAAGCACTGTTCCGCAGCCATCAGCTTCTGCTGAGCTTGGCTCATTATATGCCATGAGGTACAGGTCCCTGGAATTCAAGCTGCTCATGTATAGCCACTGTCAGCATGTGTGTGTATGTCTGTACATACATGCAGAGGAGCATCATACCGCTGCCTGAAGGACTTCTACCTCTGAATCCCACAGACCAGCCACAGGCTTGTCCAGAAGTTTGTGCTCAGCGGCTGTTCCAACACTTCTTTCTGAAGGCTCAACAAGTATCCCTCCCCTCTCTCCTACATCCCTGGACCAGCTGCAGGATAGAAAGGGTTGGGACCATGGCCATGAACAATAGCCCTCCTACTGGGGTGTGTAGCACTAGTACCTCTCTCAGTGTTCACCTGCCCATGGAGTCTGCCATGGCCCACTGTTCAATAAACTGGTCTCTCAATACTCTAACTGGTGGTGGCATCACTCTTTTCCCCTTTCCTCTCTGCTTTCTCTCGCTTGGCTGATTGGCACCCTGGGTACAGTCAGGTCACATACACCAGTCGTAAATGCCTGGAATCTTGTTTGAATGAGACACACACGGTGAAGACCACCAGGAGGCCCTGCCCTTGCTGTCTCATGCCTCTGTGAGTCAGTAAAATCTACCTTGCTCCCAGCTGTCTGTGAGGCACTTAGAGATGAAAAACAAAATATGCAATAGCTTTCAACTGACGGATGTTTCGGTTGTGAACAAAGCCAGGCTTCCTGGCTTTCAGCCAGCTGACTCTCAGACAGACCCCCAACCATGTACACCATAATACAATGATTTTTTTCTGAACGGGGACCACAGCCAAGTCCACTGGCAGGGGAAGGATTTCCTCCATGACTGGGGCCTGGAAAACCTTCTACGTTCCCACTCTGCTTTGGGACCCAGTTAGGATAATGAAACCAAACTTGTTCCAAATCAGTAATGGGAAGGGGAGCTTGCTGATGTAACAGGAAGACAGGGAAAGAAGAGGAAGAGAGAGATGAGAAGTAGGTGTCTGTAGCTGGGTGGAGAGGTTGGGTCTACTAAGGTGAAGCAGCTACTGATGTTACTCGCATCAGGAGCACCTTCCTGTTAGGCCTGGGTTTCGTGCCCTCAAACTGGCACCCAGATCTACATTCTGCACTTTAGGCAGCTTCCATCCCAGGAGCTAAAAATGCCCTGCAGTCCCCTCTGCTCCTGGAGAAGTGTTGCCACACCCTTCTAGTCAGGGGAGTTGAGCAGCACAGAGGCAGTGATGCCCTTTTTGGCACAGCAGCCATCAGAACCCAGGCTAGCAGTCTCCTGGCCCCATACATGGTTGACCCCCACTGCTTCCCTGCAGATTATTAGCCAGGAGGACATCTCCAGCATAGCAAGAGGAGGAGCCCTGACCTCAGCAGCTGTGCTGCATTCCT